GCAACAGGAGAGGCCACAACAGTGAGAGGCCCGCGTACCGCAAAAAAAAAAAGAAAAAAGAAAAAAAAAATGGTTTATGGTCTCTGCTATTTTGCTGGATGATTTTAGAAGAAGGGCAAATAAGCCTGTGAAAGATGTCTAGGAAACGTGAATAGTAAGAAGTTGAGTGATTTCCTTGTGAAGTTAGTCAGAGTTAACGAACGGATCCCTAACTTAGCGCCGGAGGTTTGACTTCCCCTTGAGCAAGTGAGCAGACCCTTCATTTCTGAATTGCTTAGTACATCATCTTAACTCCCACTAAACATTTCTTTTTTTTAATTTACTTATTTAATTTATTTTTTTTTTGGTTGAGATGGGTCTTCATTGCTGTGTGTGGGCTTTCTCTAGTTGCGGTGAGCAGAGGCTCCTCTTCATTCAGTGCGCAGGCTTCTCATTGCGGTGGCTTCTCTTGTTGCAGAGCACAGGCTCTAGGCGCACAGGCTTCAGTAGTTGTGGCACGTGGGCTCAGTAGTTGTGGCTCGCGGGCTCTAGAGTGCAGGCTCAGTAGTTGTGGTGCACGGGCTTAGTTGCTCCGTGGCATGTGAGATCTTCTCAGACCAGGGCTCGAACCCGTGTCCCCTGCATTGGCAGGCAGATTCTTAACCACTGCGCCGCCAGGGAAGTCCTCCCACTAAACATTTGATGTCAGCGTTTTCTGTTATTATTCTATCACCAAAAGAAAAAAGGTAGTAATTTGAGTTCCCACCATACGCAAGGTCCTTCATAAAAGCTCCAGTTGATCCCTTATAGTACCTCTGTGAGGTAGTTCCTTTTCCTACTTATTTAGGTGTGGAAACAGACCCAGAGGTTCTATTGCCCAAATCACACAGCTAGGAAATGGCCAGGCTGGGATTTGAGCTCACTGCCGACTGATTCTGAACTTCATGTTCTTGCCACTAAACTTACTGGGGCTAGGGAGGTGGACAGGGAGGGTCGTTTGTCCATTTGCTGTCACACGGGCAGCATGTCAGCATAGGATGTGAACCTTCTTACTGGTCTCAGGTAAATAAATGACTTAATGTGCTACATTTGTTAATAGAGGCTTGCCACTTGAGATTTCATGTAGCTCATCTTTATTCTTTACTGGGGTTCTCAACATGAATCTGGTTGCATGTTAGTCATTGGGAACTTTTTAAAAAATATTGGTGTCCAGACCCCAACCTCAGAGATTCCTATTCACTGGCTCTGGGGTTAGGGTCCAGGCATGTGTTTTCTTTAAAAGTTCTCAAGTGAGTTCTTCTTAATGCAGTCAGATGTGAGAACCACTGATATATTGCTAACCAAAAAACAATAGTTAAGGATTTAATGTTTCTTTTTTTTTTCTAACATAAAATGTATTTTTTCTGCTCTTTAGGGCTTGGATTTTGAGGCCAAGCAGCAGTACATCCTGTATGTGGCAGTGACTAATGTGGCCCCCTTTGAGGTCACTCTCTCCACTTCCACAGCCACCGTCACCGTGGACGTGATAGATGTGAATGAAGCCCCCATCTTCATGCCTCCTCAGAAGAAAGTGACAGTGCCCGAGGACTTTGGCTTGGGCCTGGAGATCACGTCCTACACCGCCCAGGAGCCAGACAGATTTATGGAACAGAAGATCACGTAAGTGTGAGGGGTTTTCCACTTACTGGCAGCAACTGGCTGTGTGCGTACCTGTATGTATAATATATTTTGTTCATGGCATTTTTATCATCATTGGTCTGTGGAAGATCCTTCTCTTGTTTGGCTTATTTATATTTTTATCCCCATTCCCCACACCTTGTCCATTCCGTCCATGGTCAGCCATTGTCGGTTTACTGTGCTTCCTCTTTTTGAATTCACTTAGTGCAGTAGGAATGTGGTTTTAATTTACATACATGGTATTGTGTTATAAGTAGCTTACTGTTTCTTTTTTTGTTTTGTAAACTTGAAGGCGCTTCTGTAATGTAAATCACAGCCACAGATGCTGAAAACACACATACAAACCAACCAACAGCAACACCTCTGTGGCCACGTATGATAAAGGATGTTCTTATTCTTTTGAGAGCTAGGTCTGATGGCATACTTGGTGTTTAGGTGTGACAATGGTGGAAACTCAAAGGGAAGACTGTTAAGCACAAATCCAATCATGGCACATCTGCGTCTTTTTAGCAATAGCATGATTTCCAGAGATAACAAAGGCCTCGGTCACTTCCTCTTCTCAGAGAGAGATTCCTACCTGTTAATATTTACTTTAGAGGAAACTATTAGAATGCTCTCAACTATTTGGGAAAAAGGTTATGCAAATCCAGTATAGAGTCCCACTTGGTAATAAATTGAGCACGTTCTTGTTTGGAGGGGGAGGTGTTTGTGTTTTAGTATCAGTGCCTGTGACTTACTAAATGTAAAACAAACATGAAGTTTAAGTGCAGCTTCAATTTCCGAGTTATTCTGGGAAGTGATAATTTTATCCTGATTGGAAGGGCTCATAAATAGCTTTAAACTGTGCATGTGTGCCATACGGATATAAAGGATCCAGGTAGTGATATTAATGGCTGCTAGAATCATTAGGTCAAGGATGATGAGGAATTTTTTTTTTTTTTTTTTTTT